GAGGGTGCTGGCCGCTGGCAGAGGGCTCCGCAGGTACCGCGGTCACTTTCTCGCTTAGAGAGACAGACAGACCCTGCCCCGTTCCTCTCTAGCATCTCACCGCGGCTTCTATTGAGCTACAGAAAGGAAACTCGGAAAACTTTTCAGCCCTTTACCCCTCCCATCCCTTTTCCGTACCCAGCGGGGAGGGGTAGGAAACCAGGCGGGGCTGCTGCCACCACCGGCGGGGCCGGCGGTGAAGCTGCAAAGTTACTTTTTTGTTGTTGGTATTTTGTTTTGGGTTTGTTTTGTTGTTTTTGGTTTTGTTTTTGGTTTTTTTTTTTTAACTCGCTCTTTTTTCCGCGAGAGTTTTCTGCGGTTGCAGCAGGTAGCCGCTATCAATCCCTGTCTGCCGCTCGCCCCCTCCTAACCCTCCTTTGGCTAGGTGATTTTCCCCGAATATACAGACATTATACACGCACGCTCATAGGTATAGATGCATATAAAATCACCCACCACGTATAACACAGGAAAAGCCGGGATAGGCTACCAGTGGGAAGCACCGGCGTAGCTCCAAGAACGGAGCAAGCCCGCCGAAGGGCAGAGCGGGGGAGGCAGCCCGCACCCTCCCCGTCCGACTGCCCGGCCCTTCTCCTCTCCCCACCCCACGGCCACTGCTTAGTGCTCCCCGCGGGAGGGTTTCTGTGCTTCACAGCCCCTCCGAAGAAACTTTCGAAATGCTGCTACGGAAAGGCTCCTTCTTCTTTCCCTCTCTAATCTCGCATCGACTTCGTCTTTTAAGGGCAGAATACATTTTAATTGAGGGATTTTTTTAAAGCGCCAAATGATATTTTATTGCATGCCAGAGGTTTAATGAAAAATACTGACGCATCCAGCTGAGGCGGGGGGGAGGGAACCCCAAACGCATACATATGCAGAGGCACCGAAAATGCCCTGCCTTCCCCTTCCCATGTCATGTCGCGCGTGTCTTCATCCCCCCCCGAAGATGGAGACGGACCTTCGCCTTCGGCTGTCAAGCGCGAGCAGGGCGCTCCTTTAAATCATTTCGGATTTTCTCAGCGTGAAAAAAGAGACTCCCAGATGGGCTTTGTGAATTGATTTTAAACACCTCCATCAGCCTCTGATACAAAACTGACTGATTTGTCTCCGTGCGCGGGGGAAACAAATGTGCGGGGTGCGCCTTGCACAGATACCAGTATAGGACTGACGAGAATGGGGAAGCTCCGTTGTGCTACGCAGATAGTGTAAGAACCCTAAACCTCTCTCCAGCGATGCCAGGGGAGAGCACATACACTGCAGGCACACTAAGCCGGGCCGTATGTATCCTCTACATACATATCTAGCCTGCACGGCTGGGACGTGCCAAAGTGCACCCCGATGCTCCTGTCCGCGGTCTGTGCCCGGCCCCGCCGAGCCGGAGCGCTGCAGGCCCCCGGCGGGGAGCGCCCCGCAGCCCCAGCCCCGCGCTCTGCCTTGCCTCCCAGCGAGCGTCCCGAGCCCTGGAACTCGGCCCTCAGCCCTGCCCAGCGACCGGCGAGGCAAGCCGCCCTCCCCGCACCTCCTCGGCAGGAGCAGGGCTGGCACGGGAGAGCGACGTTCCCCGGCACGGATACCCGGGATACCCGGGCCGGGGGCTCTCTCAGCACCGTTCCTCCCATCACGTGCGAATGCCTCGCAAACCCCATTCCTGGGAGCAAAGGCAGTTGTCCCGGTCCCTCACACATATACACGCACAGCCTCCAGCGAATGCCGTGCTTTTTCCTTCCTCCCATCTCATTAAAAAGTCTTTTTTTTTTTTTTTTTTCCTGAGAGGGGGGCTGATAAGCAGCTGGCAGGGGCAGGAAAGTCCCCTACTGAGCCACCAAACAGACTTCGTGGGCAAAAGCAATAAATAAGCTCAAACTTTTTGTTTTCCGCATCACCTTACCTTCTTTTGCAGCCTGTGCCTCCCCCGTGTGTGCAAAGCGGAACAGCCAGACGGAGCACAAAATAATCCAAGAAGGGAGCCTACTTTGGAAAGCCATGGTGCAGGAGCGGGGTGATTTTATATTTCTAGCTCTCTATTCCTAGACACTGCCACTGCCGCCGCTTGGTGGGTGCTAGAGGACGGTGGAGAATTTGCTGTGCTAGTCTGTGGCTCGGCGCTCCCTCCCTCCAGGCTGCCCTTCTTTCGCCTCCTCCGCCTCCGCGCCGCTGCCCGGCTCCCGCACCGGGCCGGCCGCCCGCCAGCCCCGACTGCAGCCCGGCCGCCCGCGCCGCGCGCCGATAATATCAATGAGGGCGAGGGGGCGGGGCCTCAGCCGTGGAGCGGCCCGTCCCTCAACGTGACTGACAGCGCCATCTGACCAATCAGCAGCAGCTATCGGCGGTCGGCGGGCCGAACCGCCCCCTGAGTCGCCGCGGCCAGGGGGGCGTGGCCGGCGGCGCTGGCCAATGAGCGCGCGGCGGTGTCGGGTGTCTGCCGGTGCCGGGGAGCCGCGGGCTGCAGCGCTGGGACGGAGGGGCTGAGGTGCGAGCGGGGCGCCGAGCTCGGGCGGCTCCCGGCGCTGTCCCGCACGCCTGCGAGCGCCTGCCCGGAGCATCCTGCGAGCGAGGGGACACCCGTGTATCCCTCTCCTAGGGTTCCTTGTGCTCTCCCCGTGTCGCAGCCGCCGGGGTAGCGAGGGAGAGGGGTCCCGGCCAGGTCCGGCTTCTGTCCGAAGCCGAGCAGCCACCGGCGGGTCCCCGCGCTGCTCCTGCGCGGTGCCCGCCCATGGCCGGGCTGAGCGCGCACCTGGGTCACTGCCACAGAAAGGGAAACTTGGGCAGAAGCTGCGGGATGGTTCCCCGATACAGCCCTGCCACGACAGCCAAGTTCCTCGGGGCTGACATCACTGGGGATCCCTTCCCTCTGCTGCGTTCGTGTTTTCCGCCCCGTGTCTCCGGTTTGCCCCAAATATGAAGAACAGGTTAATGGCATTATAGATATTGTGTGGGGAGAGAAAGGGAGGCTGCTTCCCCCCTGCCCTCTCCGGGTGTAACCTGAAGCGCGTGTAATCCTCTAACAATGAGACAAATAGGAGGGGGAGGGAAAAGAAAAAAAAGTGAAATCCGAGGGGGAGAGGAACTTGCCAAATCTCTCTTGTCAGCGCTCATCCTGCGGACCGGGAAAGCTTTTGCCGGGGATCCATGACGCCCCCACCCCTCCGCTTTCCTTTCTCCAAACCCACGCCTCGCTCCTTCGGAGTGAAACAACTGCGGGACACACACAAGAACTTACCGCTCCCCCCCGAAGGAGGCCGCGGAGCGGAGCGCGGGGCCTCGGTGCGAGCGCTCCTCTCCCGGGCCGCGCCGGGGCCGCGCAGCCCCCGAGGCGAGAGGCGGCGGCCCCGGCTGCGCTCCCGCTCCGCGCCCCCTGCTCGGCCCCTGCCTCCTCCGCCTCTGTCCCGCGCAACCTCCCCGGGCCCTGTGCCGAGCGGCATGGACCGCGGTTTGTGCTGCTAAAGGTGCATGGTCGTGTCCTTTCGAAGGATAGACGCTGCGATGTAAACAGAATTAGTGACTGTCGTCTCGGAGGCAAGCGAAGGCAGTGAAGAGGCAGGGGTGTAACTGCAATTCGGTGGCAAGATTGTGCGAGAATCTGAAACGCGCCTTGCGTAGATGCGGAGCCTCATATAGAAAATGTTATGCCATAAATGGGAATTTAAGTTGGGGGGAGGTTTGTTTGTGGAACCTTTAGGTAGATAAGACAAAATTAGAATTACTACTACAAATAATAGCAATATTGTAGTGCTCAGCATTGACGGATAAACAGCCACCATAGTCCGGGCTTTGAGCGCTTTCCCTGCGGGCTCCTTGTGACTTCCGAGAAGGGTGTAGAGAGAGGCTCCAAAATACGCTGTATTTCTTTCACTTGCTGAATAATTAATATGGCTTAGAATATGACAGTTTTTGTGTTTCATTCAGAATGTTCTGTTGATACTTTGGATACTATGATAAGTGTAGGCATAGTGCAGACTCTTGGTTTTCTCATCCTCTGCCGTCTGTCATACCCATCCTCATGCATGTGTACTTAGAAAGGGGAGCTGTGCAGAACAGTGAGTAGGCTTATCTTCTTTTTAAAAGGCTGTTTTAAATACATGCAGGGATTTTGTGACTTCTTGGCAAATTTTCACGGGTGAAGTTAGTTTTCACATTGCATATATTGTAACAGTGATTAACAAAGATGTAGGAAGTCTTCAACCTAGTTAGTCCTCCACAGTTTCCTAGCATGAAGTGCTAGCATTTATTATGTCACTAAGCCAAAAAGACAATTTTCACCCCAAAGAATGTACTAAAAAAATTGCACTGAGGTTTTGAATGACTATGTTTATAACAATGTAGAAACTTACTAAATGGAAATATTTACAGGAGAAAGGTTTAAATGGTAACGAGGTGTCTTCCTGTCCTGCATATATTATTAGGCTAGACAATTATTTTTAATGTCACCTGCATTTATACAGATTATACTGTACTATTTTATACAATCTAATATTGTATGTGTATGATATATGTATCAGATCATGCACATATGCAAGGATTCTCAAAGTTATGTACATTTATATGTAAACCACACAAAGGATGTGTGAGCGTATAACAAAATTAAATAAAAGATTAAAAAAAAAGGAAGTCTATATTGCTCTTCCTCAATCCATTTTAAATTCCCTGTCTTCCTGATAACTGTAAATGAAGATCAAGATGACTTATTATATGTACTGCTTTGTTAAAACAGTCATCGATGTATTCTCTGTTACACCAAAACATTCCATATACACCGAGTGTCTGTTAGTGTTGGGGGTGTTGTTTTGTGCTTCTCACACATTAAATCTTTGTGAAATTGACGAAAAATTTGAAATCTTTTTTAGTGAATTTGATTATCCCATTTTCTCTGTTTATTTGTAGTGTTTTCTAATACTTCATTGTATTCTGTAGGATTCACATCCTGTATTGCATCTCATCCAGCTGTGTTAGATTTTCTGCAAAGAAAAACAGAAAAGAGATATAATACAACTGAACAAAAATACTCAGGCTAAATGGATTGCAATCCTCAGATTTGGTAACAAAACCTCTGAGAAAGAAGAAGAAAAAAGGTGGGGAAAAAAGGAATTGGGAATTTCATTCAATTCAATGTGTTACTATTCAGGTACCACCAAAATAAATGGTTAATGGGGAAAAAACAATGTAATCCAAGATGGTATCTTTATTCTGTTTTGTCCTTTTTCTCCTGTAGGCCAGATTCTTTTATTTTTACTTGTAGTTAGAATGATTTTCTTGACGTTACCAAGCTACACTATGCTGGAACTAACTTCGTACTAGTTGAGCATCTCTATGCTGAATTGCAAAGCTCTAACCAGACTTTGGAAAAATACTTAAATAATTTCCTCGTCCTTAAAATTGACTAACTCTGTCTTCACCAAAACTTGGTCTGAAATTGTGGCACAAGAAATACGGGATTAAAGGGCTACACAAGCGTATGTAAGGAAATGAGCATAATTTGAAAGTTGTTACAAAGTTCTGCTTTCACGGATTTTCTTCTTGCAGGATCCATTCATTCTTTCTTTCTGACTTAGTGCAGCACTGAAGTGACCTTTCAATAGTTTCAAAAAGCTGTTGAAGGTTAGCCTCAGACATCATTTCTGTAAATCAGGTTGAGTCTTGGTTCAGTCCACAGAAAGGTGATCCTTAAGACTGGCTTTGAAAAAAAAAAAGAAAACAATCCTTGAACTCTGTTTTACAGTAGCAAAAGAAAAAATTAGTTGTAAATAATAAAAGAAGATATTCTAAACCCTGATTTTTTGGTCTTAATCTAAGTAATCCCTGAGCTGTTTTTATCCATGCACAAGATTTTCTATTAAATACATAGTACACTTTTTTTTGTGCAGTTTGTGTCAGTTTTTTGTATACTTTTTATTATAAAATTAGGTGTCTTTGTGACACTTCACTTGTAAGTTGTATAATAAATCATTATATCAGACTATGCATTTAGTTTTACAGATGTAATGGCACCTACATTCCAAATCTTGACCAGAGATGGATTTCTCATACACTGTCAATTTCAGATAATCTTGTGGATTTAAAAGTCAGAGTAACTCTATTATACTAAAGAAGACAATGTATTAAATAAACATTATTGGTTCATAAAGAAATTGTAGAGAATAGGGACTGGCTTTTTTGAAAAGCATGCTCATATAAAAAGTTCTTTTTCTAGTTAAAATGCCAGTTTGGTTTTGGATTTTTAAAAACTATTTTAGTTAACTCTAATCAAAAATAGTGCCGTTAAGCTTCACACTTTAAAGTCTTTACTTATATCAGAATGGTAATAAAAATTCACTGTCAAATTTTCTTTTGGGAGATTTAAAGTTGTACTGTGCTAAATAGATACATAGATCATGTTTTCCAAATCTATGAATTTTCAATACACTTTGAGAAATACAGAAATAGAGGTAGGATGGTGTATCATCTTGCCATTTAATGGAAATGAAATAGAACAGCACAAATTAAATTCACATTAAACATACAGTGAACAAAAAAAGCTTTTGCCTTTCCTGAGGAACAAGAGCAGAGTTGTAGAGAGTCCAAAAGCATGGTGCATTTGGGTCCTGTGAGACTGCTTCCCCTGATAAACCTGAATTTGGAAACTGCTTTACTGAGCAACAAGAGCCTTTGGAGAGCATACTGTCTCTTTGTTGATCATTCTTCAGAGTCTTTTAGTATATCACATTGTGCTGCAGACCTTCCCCTGGGAAGCTCGAACAGGACAAGCCAGTGCCATCATCCTGTGATAGCATCTGGAGATATTCTGAAAGGAGATAATTTGCCTTTCTCCCCTATGAATTAAGAGAGTGTCTTTGTGTTTGGAGGCAACAACGAGTATCTGCCCATATAAGCTCCTTGTTGACTTCAATTCTTTGTAAGATTTAAAGCTTCAATTTTTCCTAGGATGTTTGTCATACTAAAAATTGTGAACAGAAGAGCCTGGCCATAAGGGCAGCTAATTTGTATTTTAGTTAATTAGTTGTAAGTGACAGATAAACTCTAGCAAGATGCTCCAGTGAGGTTAGTATCTTCCTGTTCTTATTCAGCACAAGTGACATCTGATCACTTCCATCTGTGACGGTCCTAGATTCTTCTTTCAGCCCAGCTGAGGTGAAAAATCAGACCCAGTAGATTTCCTGTTTCCATATATTACCTCCTCTTACAGTCAGTCTCA